TACATGCTAGGCTACAATGAGAAGGAAGGAAAACTGCGTTTCTTTTTATCGAACTTTTATCGACCCTCTTTTTTTCTATTGCGCCACACGTCTATTGATCGATATATATCGTTATTGAATTATCGCCCAGCCCTAGGATATTTGCATTATATCGTTCAGCCTTATTGCCTCAATGTTCCCGCTCTTGTTTTGTTGTGGGATTCCATTCTGGTAGTTTCGAAAGGTTTTCTGTCTGGGTGCCTTTTTGGCATTTGTTCTGCTCTTTACGATGTAAATGAATCATTTTTCCATTTCCAAAGTGTCTGTGCCACACTTGGTTTAAACATTATTTTCATATAAGATCACAAAGGCTGGGAATTTCCATTTAATTCTATGTAAGCATAAAAAAGACATAGCATAAACTACCTATGATTAAATCCATGAACTATTTGAACGAATTGGGACTTTTAAGTCTTGTCAGGCTTTTAGCTAGGAATATTTCATAGCTTGTAAACATTGGTATATCACTGTATCATATCTTTAGGCTTTGCGCGCCGTCCGGGGGTATCCTCTCGCGGAAAAGGTTGAAATTTAAACTCTCTGAGATGCTATTTCCTGCATTTTGTGGTGGAATCCAGCTAAGTTTTTATCTTTGTTACAATACTTTTGTCCTGATTATGGGAAGTATTGTGCTTGACTAGAGGTGGAAATTTCATAAAGAAGACGTGGCATCATTTTAGATACAATATTATATTTTATAGGTTAATTCAAATAATCAGACTGTAATGCTACGCTCATACCACGATTTGAGCAGCAAAAAATCGGCTGCTGCTTAATTTTTTTATGCATGTACACATTGAGGTCGGGTGTGCCTGCTCCTGAGGCGTGTCCAGTAACCAGATGTGTCTTGTTACAGAGGCTAATGGCTGTGCTGCTCCTGTGTTTATTGTAGCTTCGCTATATTTGCTTTTATAAGTGGATAAAAAGTAACTTGAATATGTTTTTTAAGCAAGAAAGTCCACCTCAGAAGTTGTCTGTGCAGTTAGTCCATCAAGATTATGCTCCTGCCAATATTATTTTGCTGTCACAGCTATACGGACCCCACACACCGGCAGGGCGCTGTCACTGGGAATCCCCAGCAGCAGCTGCCTCAGGCCCGGTTTTTCCCCTACTGTTCTTGGTGGCTGGAAGTAAATGTTAGTGATTTTCATGTATGCGGTACAAACTGTAGGCACCAGATTATTAAAAGCAGACAGTGTACGGCCGTATGCATTGCTAGCGTGAGGCTCATCTTGTGGGTATGTTAGGGTTAAAGAAATCTTAAAGTAAATTCTAGAAATGTGCTTTCATGATCTTCTGTTGGCCAGTGAGTGAAGACTTGTTTTCACTTTTTTCTCTTCAAGTACTAGTTTCTCCAAAATGGCGGTAATCCAAATTCAGCTGTGTGTCCCACATGCCTCAGACATTTTAGATGTGATGTCCTGAGTGCTAAAAATTAGGGATGCACGATATAATCGGCCCCCTATCAGTATCGGCCTGTATCGGCCTTAAAACTGAATATCGG